GAAAGCACTTTTTCTCAAAGATTACTAGCTATGACTGGTTTTCATTACATGCCCTCAAAACATGCAATGACATGCAAATGTTGAGTCCCCCCCCCCCCCCTCAAAAACAAAAAGGGAAAGAAATGCAAATGTTGAGCAGTGGGGCATGACTATAGCTATTCCATTCATTCTTGCACGTAATCACACGAGCAAATTAGACAAGTTTTTGTTCATCAAAATATGTTCCACATGACAAACTTTGTACACATTGTACATTAGTTTCCCATCAATGTCACTAACCCAACATATTGCCTAACGCAGCGTTGTTTCATAGAAACACTATTGAAGATGAAATTTCCATTCCCAATTAAAGCAAGTTCTAGGATCAAGCAAACTAATTATTGGGTTTAAGTTTGTTGGTGACAATTGGAACAAGAATTTTGTGATTGATGATTGATCATACTGGGAAGTAGTGTAAGGACTAAAGAGCAAATTCGGGGAGGTTTTTAAACGTTTTGGTTAATTACCTTTTTGCTACCTTTTACAATTGAAAAGAAATGCCGAAAGGGGAAACTAAAATGGATAGAAAGGAACATTATCATGGTTTGGTGGACATGTTCTCAAGACTTCTATGAATCATCAATTGTCATATATATGCCCTTTTCTCTAGTTTTGTTAAAAATTTAAAAAATTTTACTACCCAAAAAGAAGTAGGGTTGCTTAATATCTTGCTAATATGTGTGAACAGCGGTGGAGTACATAATTACATATGTTGATTTGTTGTAAAGACGTCAACATATAATAACCAAAAGTCAATTAGGCTGATTAACAATGTCTTGTTGATTAAAATTCAACTTTTAAGTGATGCATGGTTTAAAAAGATAATTTTTCTTTATAAATTTTTTTATTCCAACATAAATGAAGACTAATCTCTTAGGAGGCAGTTCAAATAAATAAAAGTTTGAGATTTTAAATTAAAAATTTTAAATTTAAATTTTAAATTAGATGAAAAAAATATTTTTTTTATATAATTTATTATTAAATATAAAAAAAAATTAAAGACTTGATGAGAAATTTAGTATGGTTCACATGGATTGGCCCAAAACCGAAACATCTCATCATTGCAAAAATTATAAAATAAAAACAAAACATTAGACTTCGAATCTAGGGTAAAATCAAAAACGAAATTTAACTTAAAAAAAGTAAGGATTTTTTTCCCCTACCGAGTGTTTTATCTCTCTGCAAAAAAGCCTTTAGCTTTCTTCCTTCCATGAAAACTAGTCTTGACACTTTCCTTTTCTAAGTTTTTTAGGACACCATGTGCCCAAATGGTTCCTCCCCTGCTTCAAATCAAATATTCAATACAGCTGGGATTTCCATTTTAGTGGCAAGATATTTTTCTAGTTACCAATGAAAAAAGAGAGAGAGAGAGAGAGAGAAAGAGAAAGAGAAGAAAAAATCAAGGAACAAAGATACGTGACATATCATGTGGCCTAAAAAAAGGAGTACTATAGCAGGGAGGGTGTAAGCTGGTCAAAAGTAGGCAAAATTGGAGTAAAAAAAGAAAAGAAAAAAAGTATGAAAGTAGTTATTTTCGGCTATGGCGTCTGTTTGCCATTTTTTCCCTCACTATTCGCATTACTCTACCCTACTCATATATGATTAGTCCAAAAATAGGGACTTTTGAGTTCGTACAGGGCCTAACGCGGGTACAATATGCACATTAATAGAGAAAAAAAAATTATTAGTGTATTTTTTAATTTAATATATTTATTAATATTTATTAATTCAATCATTAAATTTTAATGTTTTTAAATTCTTTTACATTTAATTTAAATTTAAAAATAATAATTTTTTAATAAATATATTATAAAATAAATTAAATTGATAGATATATGTATTAATATCTTTCCAAAAAATAATTAATAAAAACTTAATTGAATTAATATTTAATTAAAGAGGATCAAATCATTTTCTTTATTAGAATCCATTAATTTAAAATTTTTATTTTGCGGTTAAAATTAATTAAGTATTTAAATTATGTAATGCCAAATAATTATCAATTTAAAATATAAATAATTAATTGAGACATGTCTCAAATTCGGACATTCTGTCGTTAACTGATTGAGCCCAAATGTTGGTTAACACCCAAACTGAATTAAAGTACACTAAGACTCCCATGTTTGTGAGTCTTTTTTCCAAAATATCTAGCTTCCATTTTTTTTTTTTTTGTTTGATGTTCAAAATATCTCGATTCAATGTAATTGGAAAATGTGCTTGATTGATTGTAATTGATAATCGTGGACGCATGTGTTATACATATATAAAACATATATATTAGTTAATTAATAAACCTAAGTAATTAAATGAAAATAAAAAAATTTTAATTTAAATTATATTATATATAAGTAAAATGAGTTTTGAATAAAAAATTATTTTTATTATATAATTTAAGATAACAATAAAAATATATATATTAAAAAATGATATGATTTTATAATTGAACTCAAGAGTCAAGAGTAAGTGGATTTTGAACATAATGAAAAAAAAAAAAAAAACCCGGAGAGAGAGAGTGACAATTACATTTAATGAAGAATAAGAAATATGCACCTTTTACTAATTCAACTATATACTCATGCGCTTTATAGACATGCAACATAAAACACATATTAATCCCTATTTGGCATCAAACTAACTCACTTGACCTGTTCTAATTGGCAAATTAATTAAGAAAAGCCATAATATAACTCCCCCTCCTCCTGAAAACAAATTAAAGTGTCTTTATCTGCTTCTGGGTTTATTTGGCTTAGCATTTCAGATACAACTAATATCCAATATAATTTTGTTTTGGTAAAACTAATATTCGATATTTGACTATAAATAATTGTTAGTAGAATTTTAAGAAAAAATCCTATTGCAAAGTTAAAGTTTTCTAATAGTCCATTTTTAATTGTCACACATTCACATATTTGTGTGATACAATTACAGAGAAATTTATTATAAAGTTAAAAGCGCAATCATTTATATCTTAAATTCCAAATTTGCCCTTAAAGTTCTTTTAACAATAAAAAAGCCCTAGGCTTACCAAAAACCAGGGATAAATTGGAACAAAACGTTTAATACCTCTGTGAAAATAGAAGGTATAACAACTAAGCATAAACTCTTTTATTTAATGGGGGTTTTTAAATTTTTGGCACTTTTTTTTCCCGTAATTGATATTAAAAAATAAAAATTGATATTTACTTAATCAATCATTCAATTAAAATGATTTACGTAACATAGATGATGAAATTAATGTAAACTTTTATCATTTTCAACATCAAATTAATATAAAAAGAGTATATTAATTATACCCTTAAAGGTACATGTTTAAAAATCTTTATTTAATAAGTTTAATTAACAACTAAAAATGGAAAGGAGTAACATATGGAACATGATTAACAAACAATTTTTATTATACAATTTTTTTTATATAATTTTATATGTCATTTATTAATTGACCCTTTTTATTTTACTGAAAGTTTAATATTACATGTATCAACTTATTTAATAACATATAAAATTTATAAATACAAATTTTACAAATAAGTTCATCCATATGTAATTACTGGCAGTATATATATCACGATTTTAGGTGGAAGAAATAGAGAATTGTTTATTGGCATGTTGTATCAAAGTCTTTCCTTTTAGCTCAGTTTAGGGCCGGCCGCACAGTTTGCATTAGGTTTTAGAGAAAAGCAAAGCTTAGTTGTTCATTCCATTTTAAACCAATCCCTGTATCAGGTGAAAAGAGGAATTTTCTCATCATTTTAGGGCTTGCCTGCCTCTTGTAATTAATGGGAATTATTTTTCTATTATTCCCACTAATCGCCTCTTAGCGTAACATCATCAAAAACCACACAGTTTAGGAGCCACACAGTATGCGTTAGGCTGTTGGACAGTCATTTCTCAAACCCACTTATTTGGGTCCTAATAAATCCCAATTTTATCCCAACAATTATTTGATAAAAGTCAATCAAATGATTTAATTAGTGGTTGATTAGAAGTACCAATAAGAGATTAGCTTGAATTTGTACCTACTTACTTTTCTTTTTTTATCTTGATTGCACAATGAGAGACAATTATTTCGCATCTTTTATTTCATCTTACATGCATATCATACGACTCAAACTTATGATTTCTTACTTCCAGTGGAAGAAAATGATCACTGAGTTATTTAAATTGTTGGTTGTACCTACTTACTAAAAAACCTTAATCTCTCACAATAGTATCACGCGTGTTAGCTTTATGTTCCACAAAAAAAAAATCAATGGTTTAATAGTTATATCCTTTCAAGATGTTTGAAATAAAATTAAGGAAAATAATAATTCAATTACAATGCCATATGGTATTATAAATTACATTATAATGCGTAATTATATAGTTAATTTTTTTATTTAAGAATACATTTATAGTATTATATATATGTATTAACTCATTTGATAACAAGTACAATACATCATACTCATTTGATGTAATGTTATAATTTTAATTATACAATCTTACATGTTATTATAACTATAACATTTTCGCAAAATTAAGATAAAAACAAATATTAGAGAGTTAGCTCCAACAGTGTAATTTTTTTTTTTTTTTTTGTAATTCACGCATAGAAACAAATATTTGGTTAATTAATGTTCAATAATTATGAAATGTCATTTTACATATGCTACTATAAATATATCTCTAGGGTTAGGGCTTCGGCAGCCTTTCTTCTGATCTATCTCTTTCTCTTAAATTATAGTTGGGTTTTTGGGTGAAGGAGGAAATAGGGGTTGTGGAAAAGATGAGGAGGCGTCAGGTGGTTGTGAGGAGAATGGAGGAGCCTTCAAGGATCAGCACGAGTGTGAGATATAGAGAGTGCCAGAAGAATCACGCCGCCAGTGTGGGAGGATACGCCGTGGACGGGTGCAGGGAGTTCATGGCTAGTGGCGAGGATGGCACCGCTGCAGCACTCAACTGCGCCGCCTGCGGCTGTCACCGAAGCTTCCATAGAAGGGAAGTTGACACTGAGGTAGTCTGCGAGAGCTCTTCACCTCCTAATTCTTCAAATGGGATTAGAAGAAATTAAATTAGTTATGGGAGTATAGTTCTTGTTTTTATGAATGAATTAATGGTTTGATGGTGCATGTGCTGTTTTCCTTTCTAGCTTTTCTGATTTTCTCTGGTTTCTACTTGAGTTGGGTTGAATTGATCAGTGATCACCAAAACTCTCCCCACGATATATAGTTATGTATATGAAGGGCCAAATCTAGAAAGTGTGTGTTTTGCTTTAGATATATATGATATGAAGGAATTGTTCTATCTTGTTCTGTCTTTAATTTTCCTGGTTTTTTCTGGATACCATAATACCAAACTGGTGCATAATCTTACCCAAAAGGAAGATTTTTTTCTTAAAGAGGCAAAATTTGTTGGTAAAAAATTGATGAAATCTGTTCTAAATTTGCAAAATGATAGGTTAAAGGAGCTTAAATTAGTATTATTAATTCAATTGAACTTTAAAAAGTTTCAGGTTTGAATTCCTCTATTTTTGAATAGACGCTAAAGTTATGAAAACTTTACAAAATCAAAAGAAGAGAAATATGCTTCTTTACCTAACAATCAAAAGTTTCATGTTTGAATTAATTTCTCATATAAATTAGTCTTCATAATAAATTTCCCTGTTTCAATTTTTTTACAAAGTTAGATTATATATATTGTGTTTCCGAGGAGCCTTTTCCTTTTTTCTTTTTTTTTTACTAAACCTTGGAGCATTATCTTCTTTATGTTTAAGGAAAAATTCCATGGAATATTTCCTAAGTTCGGAAGTCCAATCTCTGGACGGTAAGATCAATGTTTGTATTGAATTTCACAGGCCCACATATATCTAATCTTGCTGGTTGTTATGGTGGAAAATTTCATTACTGATGTACTTAAAAGGTCATTTAAATTACTCCTATAATTATTCATCACTTTTGGTTGGTCAATACAATCCGATCTCTTTAGAACCATTTGACAAAAGTGGATTGATTACTAATTTGTTTGGGAATGCTTGCGGAGTTGAGTTGGTTCCAAAAATTACAATCCAATTATATAATGAGAAGCTGTGTGGGCAAAGTAAACTTGATTTTGGTTATACATATTAGAATATATCAAACCACATGGTTTTGCTGTCTGCACACCTAATTTCATGAACAACAACATCATATATACATATGAGCAAACTACAACAAGAAATGAACCGAAGCCAAGAAAAGAACTATGTATATGCGTTTGGCATGTGATCTGTGTAAGCAAATTTGTTCAAGTTAGGTACGCTATTCATCAGCCATGGGAGGGGAACAATCCTTCTGGTATACGTTGTACGTATTGGATTCAGGTGAATGTCAATTCCACAATTTAAGAGCATATATATATGAGAAGGGAAAATCAGTTTGGCAAAACTAATGCCTACAAACATGGGTCATGTGGAGGGACCGATGACAAAGTTCTTCAATTTTCTATCATCTTTAACATGCATCTTAAATAAATAACTACGAGTAATACTAATTGATATCAATTAACATTTGAATTCATTCATCTTTTGATATGAAATAAATGCTGTAAATTACATTCAGATCAAATACTCAACACCCTCGATGTTATAAGATCTTAACTTTTATACTACACCTGAGGTTTGGTTCAAATATTTGATTTCATTCAAATATGTATGCTCATAGGCTTTATGTTCTTGTAATTAATTTAATACCTACATGCTAATTCTAATTAACAATGGATCTTGCATGTTGTAGCAGTTTGATGTCGTTAATTGCTGGAACAACTCTGTAAATTCATGCAATTTTCCCGTTCTTCTGTAATAAGTAGTTAATTAGCAGTTTAATAATACTGGTGTTTATTCTTGGAAATAAAAATGGAGATGGGGGTGTGGACTTTGTGGTTCTGTTCAAGTCGAGGTGGATTATGAGTTAGGCCCAATTGTAATTCGGCCTGGAGCAACGAAATGGATAACAAAGAAACCCATTAACCGCACGTTTCTTAAACGAAATGCATTATGGGTTGGGGGAACAACTGTAAGTTGGCCTGGTCCATTTATGAGTTTTTGGGTAGGAGGCCCAATTATATTTTTTTTATAATGGCCCAATTATGAGTTAGTACTTAGTAACCCATGAACTGTGCGCTTGTGGCTTGCTAGGCGAAAGTGCGAAACCAACAAAATTATCCCAAACGGCCCAACTCTGAGATTTTTTCTTCTTTTTTTTTTTTTTTTTGTGTCCATATAAATTTTATGGGTCTTGTGGACAACACCCAGTCAATTTCTTCTCACATGCCCCCAAGTCCACAACTTTGATTACCTTTCTTGCATTTGTTGGACCAACAAGAAAGTCATTGCATGCCATGGGATAAGAGTTTGAGATTTTTAAAATAAATGTAAGTATTGGAAGATTTAAAATATATAAAAGGATTACTTTTTAATATCCAAAATAACATAAGAGATTTGTTACAGAATTATTATATATATTAACAATTAATTAAAAGCTCAAGTAAAAAGGTAAAATGTAATTTGTTTTACACAAACTACACTTCACTTAATCATTAATAATAGAATGGCAAATCTCCTAATATTAAAAACCTACCCCTTTTATTAATGACTAAAAATAGTGTAGTTCATAAAAGGTAGACTATTCTACAACATTCTCAAAGTTTGAAACCCACACCATCTAAAATATGCACGGACAACAGACACTACATCATTTTGAGTTTGTGGAAATCCTAATATGTCCTTTGATAAAGCAAGGAGGACAAAGATAATTAGAGATATGGGTTGAGAATATTTGGACCGCAAATAAAAGTGAAATAATATTTTTATGCTGCAAATAAAATGTGTGGTCCTTTAATTGACTTGTATAGCATTACATGGAGTAAGTGCACCTATCAAGATTATCTTTTACTGCCCTCTTTTTCTCTTCGTCAATGGTGTAGATGTGGAATCAATAGCAAGAATTTAAAGCATAAACCTTGATGTCCTATTCAATTATTTTTCTCATTTGATTTGATCCCTTAATAAATGGAATAATGCTATTGCGGCCGATTGCCGAAGCCTGAAATGCCGACAAAAGGCCGAGCGGACGTGGCAATGCCACGCCCGTTTGATTCCTGGATCTGAAAAAGGGTGTAACTAATTCAAAAGCCCTCAAGTCTATAAGACTATAACTTTTAAGTTCCTATATTTAAAAGATATCATTTAAGTCTTTAAAATCAAACAAGATTACTTTAATTTAGGGCATTAGGGTTTAGTAATTGTAATATTAGGGATTATATTATATTTTTAGGGTTCAAGGTTTAAGGTGTTAGAATTTAAATTTTTTTAGGGTTTAGATATTTTAAAATTAAATGTTTATTATGTTAATTAGGGTTTAGATTTTTTAGGATTCAATATTTAGGAGGTTAGGATTTAGATTTTTCTGAATTAAGTGTTTAGGGTGTTAGGGTTTAAATTTGTTGAGTTCTATATTTTATGATATTATGATTTAGATTTTTTGAGTTATATATTTTATAATGTTTATACTTTTTCAAATTTAGTGGTTAATGTGTTAGGGTTTATATTGTCAAGGTTTAAGGTTTAATATTTAAAAGTTTAGGTGTTTAATAATTTTAAAATTAAAATTGCAGGACCAAAGAGTGAAATTTAAAATTTAAATTTAAGAAGCAAAAATCAAAAAAACTATAAGGACCATTCGGCTTGAAGACCGATAGGTCCCTGTGGCACTACCCTTTACTGCCTTTTAATTTTTTTGGGTCAATAGTATAGATGTGGAATCAAGGGCAAGAATTTAAAGCATAACCTTGATGTCCTATTCTATTATTTTTCTCATTTGATTTGATTAATAGATGGAATGGGAGAAATTTAGATCCTTCTTTTGGCTTTACCTCGAAGAAGACAGTTCAACAATTTACATATGAACCATCAAAGTTGAGTGTTCCAAGTTTAATCCTTGAATTGTGATAGAGAATGATAAAAACATGGATGGGAAATTGACTCAACTCTATAGTCTATATACAACTTTGTCTTTGTTATTTATAATTTGATATGTATTGACTTGTAACATCAAAAAATTTAAATAATTTAAACTTGCGTCTGATTTCATTCATATAAAAATCAATATTTTATAATTTAATATGCACCAGACTACAAAAATTATTTCTTATAAGAAAAACCAATTCCCAAATTATTTACCTAAATAATTTCAGTGCCCTGTTCAGTGCGGCAGTATTATCACTCTGCATGTGTTGGAATGCAAATTGAACAGGCAACTATCTTATGGATAACACAATTTAAACGTGCATATTTAGATAATAGCATGAGTGATTAAACAGAATAGCTACATGTTTTGATTAAGGCAAAAAACAGGGAAAGCACCCTACTTCGTGGGCACATGATTTGATTCACTAAAATTCAATTATTGATTAGGCGTCCGATTGGCTTTACTTTTAAAATAAAAATCTATTAATTCCCACACAAAATGTGACCCAATTGGTACTAGCAGTCCCAACTATGTCGGTAATGTATATCAAACAACTTGACTCATGTGAAAGTTTAAATCCTTATTGGGAAAATTCTAATATTCTCTCCTTCCCAAAATTTCCCCTGGTTAAAAAAAAATGTGACCCTATTGCTTTTAAGGTACAGATGTGCAACTTACCAATTTCCACAGGAATTGGTCACAAATGATGCATTTTGTGTCCTCCTCCTGGCCACAGGGATTAAATTCTGTCTTGACCTAGACTGGCTGGGGTCAATAAGCTAAGGTGATATTGAAGAGGAATACCTAGCTAGCAAAGTTGTATCCTGTTTTGGGGTTGATTTAACATTTTAACCACACAGATTTCCACCTTCCAAACAGGGACATATACTTTGGCTTCACCATTATTTCCCCACCATACACTCCACTCCAAATTGCAGCAGTGAAATTATTGTTTGCCCCCAGGAAGCCAGAAGAGAATACTGAATTAGTCCTTCACAGTCCTGAACTGTTATTGTGTTGAGTTGAGTGGGTTTTACTCAATATTACTGATGTTTTTCTAAGAGTGTAATAGTCATCATTCTTAATTTGAAAAAGTATCAACTACTACTAATAAAAGATTGATTTCAAGTTGAAGTGGAAAAAAACAAAATGTAGTTATGCAACACCATGCGTGAGAAGAATGAAAGCCCATAAAGGGGCATAAAATTATGTAACAACCTAGGTTTGACTTATCCAAGCCTAGCAAAGGTGGATAGGGGGTTGAGGGAGATGAATATTGATGTAAGAAAAAAAGGGAGTTTAGAATTAAGAATTATGTATAAAATCCAAAGAAAGAACAACACAAAATCTAAAATCTTGTATAATATAGTTGTAATTTTGAGTTTTTAATTTTAATTTTAAAAATTTTAAAAATTTAAAAATAATATTAATTATTATTTTAATTAATTAAAATTTAAAAATCAAAATAAAAAATTTAACATCACAATCATACCATACTCAGTGGTACTTAAAAAAGCCACATGGAATGGGGCTAGAACCACCTCTTAATTACCTAAGGGTGATGTGAGCTCCAATTCACCAAACGAAATTGGGAAGTTCAAAAACTCTAATCAATATAGCTTTAAGGACGGTGTCATGTTCAGGTAACAGAGCATGTGGTAGCAGTTACGTAGGGACAGAAACTTGTCCGCCATACTACAATACCTAAAAATTTAAAATACAAAGGACATAATAAACACTTGCCATAGGGGTGAGCCATTGTTATTGAGATTTTTTTTTTATTTAATATTTAATATTTTATAATTTAATATATTTTAAATTATAAAATACATTTATAAAAAAATTATTTTTGATTTTTTATCTCATCTTATTCGTATGACATGTTATTCAAATATAATATCT